CTTTTTAACAACCCATCATCGGCCCTACTAGCCCCCAGCCTGTGTCTCCTGTGACATTTGAAAATCCTGCCAGTGGCTGGAAAAGGCTGGCACATCAGCAAGAAGAAGGAGTATGAGAAGCTGGAGGAGTATCAGGGCCTGAAAGAGGAACTGGAGAGGATGTGGAAACTGAAGGCCACTCTGAGCTGTGACTTCTAAACTGGAAGAGTGGCTCCAACAGATTCCAGGAACAACATCAGCGCTCTGTCCAGAAGAGTGCAGTTCTAAGTATAGCTAAGATACTGTGTAGAACCCTCAGACTCCCAGGACCCTGGTAGAGGCCTGCCCTGTATCTATTGTATTGTCTTCTAAGTTTTGTCCTCTGTACGGTAAATGTGCTGTTTTGTATTGCAATTTAAAAAGAAAACTCCATCAAATATTACACAGTTAATGACACAGACTGTAGCTGAAACTGCTTGATAAGATCACCCAGACAAAATGAAAGGGGGGACCTTAATGTTATAAGACAAAGAACTGAGGAAAAATAAAACAAAAGAAACAAAAAAGAATGATGGAAACAAAATCTGTGACAACAGGTACAAGTTAAGGGTTAGAAAGTCCCTGTCTTGGAAAGGCCTACTACTCTACATAATAGGTTACCTATTTTGGAAAGATAACTTCTACTTTTTGTAGATTAGTGCTATCACTCACCCGCAAGCATCAAAGACACACCAGTCATAATACTGCTGGAAGGGCACCTCAGGGTGGCACTGAGAGAACAGATTCTGAGTCATGACTGTGCACCTTTTCCTGGCCCATGTCACTCTATGGGGGTTCAGCTGAACAGAACAAAGAGAAAAGTTGCCATAAAAACAAAGTTAAAAAAAAAACTAGATTTACAACAATGTCATAGGTCCAAGTCTAATCTTCTGCAAGTGTCAGTGGCACATATGTGTGAATGGGCAAGCGTCTGTACTTACAGCACAGGGGTCTCGGAGATCCTGATCTGCCACATCTGGGCAGGAGGGGCTGACCTTCCAGGAGTTTCCAAACAGCTCAGGTGTAGACTCCACAATTCCCTGCCGTGTTGTGAAGTCATTCTCTGTATCCCCATCAAAGTTACCACACAGGCCCCCGACCCGACCCTGCAGGTGGGCTGCAAGACGCACATACACCCGCATTCCTGGAAATAACATGGAATGACAACATTACCACTGATTTGTTATTTAACCTATATCCACAGCCACAGACATAACAGGTAAAGTTCAGTGTGAAAAAGTAAACTGTAAAAAAGAAAACTGATGTGTGTTTATCCTACCTCCATCCCATAGCAGAGTGACACCAAGTCGGGAGTAGAGGGACACATACAGGCCAACTTTTTCCAAAATCAAACCACTTCCACTGTAGGTCTTTGGTAGAGTAACTGGCATCCCATTTACAGTCACAGCTTTACCTAAATAACAGAGACAAGACAGCTTACCTCAAGCAAATATTCCTAAAATAATGGCAGCTATGAACCACAACTTGCTATTATCCAGCCTCCACTTCCCTCCTACCTCTCAACAGGTGTATGATCGTATTTCCCAGGCTGAATGTGATTGACTTTGTGCAGGTGACCCCGGTGCTCCCACAGGGCACATTCTCAGCTGAGATGCTGAACAAACCACTGCTTTCCCTTACTAGCACATATTGGCAGTCACCCAGGAAAGAGTAAGCGCAACCGTCAAATGTCACATAATGTGGATCACCAGTTGCCATACAAACACCGGCACAAGCAGACTGGCTGCAGTGCCAGCGGCGCTCCTTACAAACGCTGTGGGAAAGAATGAAATGTAGTTGAGAGAGTGAAATGTTAAAGGGATGTGATGCAATAAGACAAATGTATTACATTACCATATGTTGCAGTCTTTTGTGATGGTGTCGTTGCTGTAGTAAAGTCGACCATTATGGTGACATGGGCACTCATCTGGCAGAACACAGCGATCACCCTGGAGTAAACCAGAAAATACAGTGTACATCAGTTAAAACTTAACGTGGCTAATCAGACATACTTAACCCCTTTTTATCTAAAGACAACCTTTTAATAAAGAGGAGCTAAATAAGATGATGTTCAACTGATTTCCTGTGTAATCTATTGGCTATTATTGTCCAACACCATAAAAAACTATTTCTGACAACAAATTTAAGATTTAATGACACATACAATTAACTAAAAAAATGGACCACTTCTTCCTCAGTTTTACATCTCTGTTTACTTGTTTAGTACTAGATCTTTAATCATTTTCTTGTCAGCAACTCATATTTAATTAAAGTGGACCTGAAGTGAAAATTGGCAGCACTTCAGAGGCTCAGCTCAGTGGATCTGGCCCCTCCTGAGTGTAATGAGGAAAATATTTTACTTGACTGGACAGCTACTTCAGTGGAAGCAAAGGTTTGTGAGACTTACATTTTGAATGATGCTTGCATTCTGAATGTTTGTGTTGCTGTTAGTGTGAAAGTCCATGACCAGTTAAACTGAACTGGATTTTGAGAGAGAAGTGGCTGAAACTGAACTAAACATTAAGCACTCATATTGTATTAACAGAACACAGCATGTCCTGATTTTAAATAAGTGAATAAGTAAAAGGAGAACTTTATGATGACCTACTAGGATCTACAGAAACTTTCTGGATTTAAGAGAATTAAGAACAGCACTACCTAGTTGACTCAGTCTTTGAAATCGCCTCTCTACTTCACCACTAAACTGCAGTTAATTAGTGTATATTAATGACATTGTGTTTTGCCTGCTATGAAAAGTCAAACCATATCCTGTGAAAAAAAACTTCAGTCTCAACATCAAAAAGATATCTTATTGTTATGACCCACCAGTAGGACTGTTCCCTGGGGACAGACACAGCCTGACAGGGGCTCTTTGCAGCTCAAATGAGCAACACTGTCACCCTGCTGCTGGCCAGGAGGGTCCAGGCTGGAGCAGGTGAGAAGGCAGGAGCGTGGGGAGAAGACCAGAGAGCCTGGACACAAATTCACCTTCTCACAGTGCTTCTGAGTGCAGTTAAACAGCCCCCGCTCACACACACTGTGAAGGGAAGAAGAGAGCGAACAGAGCCACTATTGAAACGAATATAATTAATGAATAAAGGGTTGTATTTTAATAGTTGGCAAAAAGTAATGCAAAGTGGAATAAAATGCAGTCAAGTGTCAGGTTGGCCCAGAATTTTCAATTATTTCTGCTGGCTCAGTAGAGTTTACTACAGATGTGTAGGTGTAATAGTCATTTTACTGGAATCAATAAAAAGCTTGTCATTCAAGGTAAATAATTACCCAATCCTTATTTTCCATTTCCCCATTGCACTTAGGCAGGTCAAGAGTCAGTGCAGGGACATAGCTTATCATTTACAGCATAATAAAAAAAAAGCATTGTGAAAACAGAGCAATGTGCTGCCATAAACACATGCCCATGCAATGAATCTGACACAAATTGATGCAGCTTTCTAGTAGTATTGTGACTGCTCTGGCTCAGTGTTTAATAGATGATTCAGATTTTTGATGTAATGATCATTGCTGTTGTGTGGTAGAGAGATGCAATGAAATCAACCTATCCTGTAGCAGCAAGCAGGAACATAGAATGATTTCATTAGAGCTCTTACACCACCAGGGACTCACCTGGGATAACCAGTGTCAGCACCATGGGGGGGCCCAGAGGGGCCAGGTCCCCCCTGCCAGACAGGCATGCCCCCGTCCTCCACCACCACCATCTCTCATTCATGGATTGTAGCTAAACATATTTGTATACAATGCATTTCCAGACCAAGTGTGTTGATGGCACTGAAACTGGTGCCTCTACTGTCATATGTGAAAACTCTTTTTCAGCTTTGGAGAATGTTTTCACTGACCACAGGTGTGCCAAGCTTCATGCCCAAAAGGCCCAGCTTGTGCATTTGCCCTTTGCCAAGGATCTAATGTGCAAGTGTTGCAATGAGAGGAAGGAAACAGTCATGATGAGATTCAACGCCACAATTCATCGAATTCAGCTCTTCATTGTATTTTTACTGCATGCATTTTGATAAATGCTAGTCAAAGCAATTTTGGAATTCTAAATGCTGTAATGGCCAATGAATGCATATTGATATCTATGTATTTTGTAGCCTTTCTTGTACTGTTAACTGTGTGGATGCAATCATGCGGTGACTCATGTTCCGTTGGAAGGCTTTTTTATTTCATTCAGTAGGCTGTGTGATTAGGCTTGTTGAGCAACAGTGCTGCCTTTCCATGCTGCAGCCAGGACAAGAATTCATACTGAAGGGGCAGCTGCCTGTGTGTAATGTTATGTGTAATGTGTTATATGAGATCAAGGGTCAAACATGATTATTCCCTTTTGTTCTTTATCACATCTACAGGACAACATGATAAAAACTGCATGCAGATAACCACAAAAGGCAGAGATCTGTGTTTATGAGGTGCTGTAAAATATCATCTACACAGTACAGGCCAGCAAGAGCTTGTGCTGAGTTAACCCCTTCCTCAATATTTCCTTTTGACAGGTTTAGAATGTCGGCTCTCCTTAATTGCAGGAGTATCGTGTCTGTGCAGCAAGGTTAATATTTAACCTTAAGTGAAATTCAGTCATTAAAATTCAAAGGAGGTTCCATGAAATGAGCAGATTTAAGTAGCAACAAGGAAACTTTCTGTTTTTTGGTTTAGTTTCTATAAATTGCATCAAATAATTTTGGAATATATAACCAGCAACATCTAATTCTACAAATGTTTCAAACCTAAGACATACATTGTCATTCAAAATGTTAAACATACCAGGTATTACAGTTGTTCTGAATAACTGCACCAGGCTGGTATGTCTTGTCTCCTTGCACACAGGGGCACATGGTGATGGGCACGCACTGGCTCTGGTGGTCCTGAACTAATCCTGGTGGGCACTGGCAACCTGGAACACATGCTCCACCACCATCACTGCAGCTCCAGCCCTGGCGCAGGTCTGAACAGGAGACCCCACATGCATGGCCACATTCCTGATACACCTGACCCCCTGAGCACTGGACAGCTGGGTAGAAAGTAGAAAGAGAAAGGTTTTAAAAAAATGAAAATAGCTTTATCTTGTTCAGTGTGTTAGAGGAAGAGAGATGAACACCTGGAGACAATACTCTGGCAACAATGAAAGGAGATTCACTGTATGATGATAAGAAGAATCAATTATATTTATTACATCCTTTATAGAGAAGTAAGTCTCTATAAATCTTCCAGACCTTTAATTCTCAAACCTTTTTAGCAAAAACAAGCCCATTATGAAAGATCTATTTCATCTAGCTAGCCAAAAGTATTAAAGCATGTACTAACAGTTCCAAGAAACAAAACATGGTTCAGCTCCTTTCAGTCCTGCCAAACGCTGTCACATTAGCCAAATATATCAAGTCTTTTGACACTGTGAAAACACAGCGTGACCCTGATTGGTCCAATGCTGACACTCACATCCAGGATTATTAGTTTATAGTTTGAAACCTAAAGGCCACTAAATTCTATTCAGGGTTTCTTCATTTCTGAATAAATAACAGCAGCTTTTCTCTCTCTATTGTATCTCCGCATGATCTCTCCAGTCAACCCAGCTACAACATCTCCCAGGAAAGCAAGTACATCACTCATTCACTTCTGACAACCCCAGTCCTTCAGTTAAAACTGGGATCATCCAAACTCCAAGATTATCAGCACATTTAACTACTGCTCTCAGGTTACGGTCAGTTCTACGAGCCATTTTCCATATTTATTCCAAGTTCCATTACGGCACCAGCTAGGGATGTAAAGGTACATGTATATGTACTGAACTGATTTTTATGTACTGTTACACTGCTAGTACCTGACTGGTTATTCATTCATTTCTCTCATGGCTACTGGACTTTGTGTAATGTTTGCCTAGTTTAGCATTCAGTGTGTTTTAGTTTCATTGCTATCTCCTGCTGTCTACAACCTCACTTTTTTACAATTAATTCACCACAAAAAAAGAAACTCTCTGATTAAGCAACCATTTGTGGCAGGACACCAAGAGAAATCTTACATGAGCGTTATTTCTTACATATCCCAGGACAAATGGTTAGGTAGTATTCCACACATTTATAACTGAACTAACCCCTTACTCTATGGACTCCATGTTATTATGGCAATGGATTTCCTGACTCATCACTTCATCAGTGGCCTCCATACTTACAGCAGAAGGTGTTGTTACGCCAGTGGACTTCAACGCCCTCTTGAACACATTGCCAGGCATAGGCAGTGAGGAGGGTGCAGTGACAGGCCTTCTGTGGAGCGCAGCCACAGACCTCTGACATACAAAGACGGAAATAGGGCTCCCTGTCCACTACATCATGACATACCTGCAAGTATTCGGATGGAGGTGCAGGTATGAATAAAAGAGAGGAAGACAGGCAGAGATGAGATAGTAGAAGAATTAACATGCTGCATATATACCACCTGAAAAACAGGGCTGTGTATGACAGAGCACACTGTCTCTGCATAATGTCTCCTCTGTGTGTAGGTGACGCAGGGGTCAGGTGGATCTGCGACAGGTGAAGTACAGTGTTCTGTTGTAAATTTCCCTGCGAAGGATGACACACTATTCTCCACGTCTCCTTCTGGGGTGGTAAAATCATCTTGCTGGTTCCATGTCAGTGTTCCACACAGGCCACGGACCTTAAGTATAAATTAAATAAAAATGGTGTGATCATATAGTTTCCATTTATGGCCACTTTGCAATCCTAACATATCATGTTCATTTTGACTGAGAATTTGAAATGACAGAAATGCCTCTCCCATACAAAAAAAAATTTGGGTTGAAACACTGCAGGATTCTAATAGCAAGGAGCTTTCATCTTTGTTTAATTTTGGGAACCAAAATGGCACCAGTAAATAAACCATTAAAATGTGATGGTCACCTTGTTTGCAAAACCAGGTTGCAAGGTGATGAGTGCTAAAGGTCCATCTAGGTACCAGAGTAGCTGGGCTCCAAATGCCTGGATGAAGAGAAATGAGGAAGAGACCCTCCTCACAGCGAGATCACCTGTTAGCACAGGCAACACCTCCCTCTGGCCATTCAGTGTCACTGTACCTGGAAGTAATAATGAAATCTAAGCGATCATAAGGCACTAAACATATTAAACATTTAGAATTCAATAAAAAAAAGTTTTAGTTTTAGAACCCCTAGTGAACCCCTAAATTAAATTTGTTTTTTGTTTCATAAGATATAAAGCCCCCGCCTAACGTTAGCAAATTGGCTGAGTGCAAAACTTTGCCAGTTTTCATTGCTTTTACACTTTTTACAAACTGTTCTGTAATTACAAATAAAATATACACTGCTTTTCCAGTAAGAAAACATATTGATGCCATGCATGCCATTACATGTATATGATGAAGGGGGTTCACTTGTCTGTGGGCTGAATGTGTGATGATGAACACCTACACTTTCACCAGACCCAGTCAAACCAGGGATACTTGAAACTTTGGATGAACAAAGACATGTTTTTAATGTTTTTATTCTATTTTTAAGTACATATGCATATGATTTTAAGTCACTATGATGACTGCTAGTAGTCATATCAAAAATGTGTGGTGCACAATGTACCACTCCACTAACCCTCTTCAATGTTAATCACTCTGATGCTCCAACAACCAGAGTGCAAAATAATGAATGACTCTGCAGTGCTGGCAGGAATGTCTACTCAGATCAGGATGTTTATCTAACTCACCAGTGTCTGTGATAGTGACTGTGGTGCGTAGTGCTGTGACTGACATCTCCCTTAGACAACCTAGGTCTCCTCCTCCTGCTGTACACTTCCCACAGCGTACACCCACCACCAGCTTCCTGTCAACAAAGTCCTAAACACACATAGGGCATAACAACAAGTAAAATTGGCTACCACACACACAAATGCAACTAATATTTGTAACTACATATGTGTTTGTTTCAATTTTATGTCTCACCTCCACTGCAATGAAAGGACAGTCTCCTCCCTGTAGTGAATACCTCTTTTTGTCAAAGGTGGTCACCTGTAGTGACCCGATTAAGCTGCACTGGGCCTCGCACTTCTCCTCTGTACATAACCACTGGCCTGCTCTGCACACACTGGAATTTTATTTAATATATATGTGTTTATTTTATGGCTGCTGTCAGAAGCAAAATAGAAAAAAGCAGAGAGTATGAAACAACCAAACACACACGCACACACATTTAAATATTACCAGGTGTTGCATTTCTGCTGTATTTTGTCCCCTGACTGGTAGGTGCGTCTGCGATGGAAGCATGGACAGTCTTCTCTTTTCAGACAGAGTCCCTGGTGAAGGTAGAGGCCCATTGGGCACTCACAGCCCCCTACACACTCCTCCCTGCACTGGCCAACAGATCCAGCAGGTCTTGGGGACTGGGGAGATGCACAGCTGGGGGGACAGGAGGATACACAGTCTGAAAACACCTGACCTCTGGGACAGACACGACCTGGAAAGAAAGAGAAAAAGAAAAGGAAACTGAGAGTGGTGGTTTAGCATCATGCATACTTTACATTCTTGACAGTCTCTTAGAGAAATCTGTGCTAATAGGTCATATCAGTTTGTTTTAAGCATCAGCTTGCAGGCAATATGACTAGAGAATGACACAACATTAAAATCAATGTTTTGTGTGTTTGAGGGAATTTGGGAAATTGCAACATCAGGGGCCTATAGCCCAAATTGAGATCAATGGGTTAGCCAGCTATCTTTTCCAGGGTCACAAAGCAGGCTCACTGTTAACCTGAGTACATAATATTCAATATAAGGCCCTAGTTACTGTCTACAAGTCTTTTCAGTGGTCTGGGTATAATATGTTTGCTGAGTACAAGCCTGGTAGGTGTCTCAGATCTGCAGGGACTGATGAGTTAGTGGTGCCCCAAGTTTAAACTAAAGTGATTTCAGGGAGCCCAAGAGCAGAATCTCATTTGCAGAAATGTGTTCCCAAGCAATAGAGTGGACAGAGCCAAGAATATGAGAGTCAAAAGAATATACAAAATAAGGATGGACAAGCTCTGGAAGAGCCAAGAATTAGAGACCTGAACAAGATCTGCAAACAAGATTTGGACCCAGAGAACCATGAAGGATATGCAGCAGTGAACTAGCTATGTGGGAGCTAGGCTCAAAAGTTTCCTCCAAATGTAGCCTGTATTTTCAGAACAGCTGATTTTAATCCTAGTGAGGACAGGAAACCCTAAAAGAGCCAGAGTAAGCTTTGTTTGCTTTGTTGTACAGACCCCAGAATTGTCACAATTTCAGTTTTGGTCTTGTCTCCACGTTATGTTTTTCTTGTCATTTTTGACTCAGACCCTTGTCTTTGTCCTTTTTTTCCTTCTTCTACTGCCTGCTGTACTGTGCTGTGCTGTGCTGTTCAATCTCCAGCCAGCGCAATGCATAACCCACCAAGCAGCATTCGTTCCCTGTCAGATTCCCATTTGCTTACCTGTACCTTTGCTTCCTATAGCCTAAAGTTTCTAGTCCTCTCTGTCCATTTGTGTTATTTAATTTTTCCCTTGCTTATATATTGCACAGTGTTTTCTCATGTTCCCCTTGTGTTGAACTTTGCCTTCTTCACTGGATTTACTATTCAGCCAGGAATGTTTATATTCCTCTGTTTCCTGTTTTGGACTCAATTTGCCTTTTGCTCTGTCTACATGGCTTTTTCAGCCTGGACTCAGAGCATCTGCTTTTTCCCCTCTCTACTCAATAAACTTGTTAGCCTTATCTACCTGCTAGCCAGCCTGCTGTGTGTTCTGCATAGTTGGGGTATGGTTTTCTGTAAATGTTTTGTATGTATTCTAAAACATTAACTAGCTGAGCCAGCAGGTTGCTGACTCATATTTCATTACCACAAAGGGTGGCTGTCCTCCACATTATGATGACATGTAGCTGGGCACACTCTCGGGCATAGCTGGCCAGAGTGTCACACACTGCACCCTCCCTCTCTTTGGGAGGTAAGCTGCAGTATAGGTAGAGACAGGTGTCCATGTATGCTCCTGGGTCCAACTGAAAGACACAAATACACTAATTTAACACTTTTAAGAAGCTGCATCAAAAAGTATGCAAAAAAAATCACTAGAGTTTCCAAAGTCCACAATGTAAAAATCCTGCCAAAACCAGTAAACACACTGTTAATTATGGAGGCTTACCGAGAAGCAGGTGGTATGTATACATTTTTGTGTGTGTGAATAAACATGCATTGCTTTGTTATTCTGTGAAGATACAATCTCTCAAAAAATGCTCAGTTAAGTTTCTCCCAAGTTCCTATCTAACCATTCTGATCAGCTATAGGACCAAATATGCACGTGGCCCAGATCTGATTAAAAATAACAAAAAACAAACAAACAAACAAAACTAGTTTAGTTTGTTCAGATCTGAGTCACTTAGTGGGACAAAACTGGATTTGGGTCACTGTAGCATGTAATGTGAACATAGCTTGAGTAGTTTCCATGCAGTCATTACAATTCATTTGGCTTTAAAACGTACGTATAGCTTGCATCACTGTAACCCATTTCTTGGAACTACTTTAACAATTCACACCTGATGAATTATGTACTTTAACAAGCCTTTTGATCATTGCAAACTTTGGGTTCAGTGAACTTTTTTTCTTTATATCCAAAAGGGTCATGGGATCCAGTAAAAATACAGTGTGGTTGTGTTAAAATTCAGAAGTGTCTGACCCGGACGTGGCAGTGTGTGAAGGGGTTTTCCAGCAGCATGTGACACCGTGATTCTGCCTGCCTTTGTAGAGCAGGGTCTCCTGAAACATCACAGCTGTGACCAAGTTCAGCAGCGTCGCTACAGCCCTGAGAAAAGCATGGGACAGAGAGAGAGAGACCCAGTTACTGAGGGTACATCTCAACAATGCACTTTGCCCTTTATATAAAATACAGTAAAATGTCACTGAACCAAGAACAACTGCTGAAATGATTCAGCTCTTACAACCAAAGGGTTTCTTGCTTTTGTTTTTTTCAGTGGCAGCTGATTTTGTGAAGTATTCTAACAATACAGCTCCTTTCAGCTTGCATTCAGACAGTACAAATATCTTATACAAGTGTCTTATAAAGAACAATCATAGTTACTGACAAAAAATTATATACTATTTACTGAAAAAAAAATTATATATTATATAATGTTATTTTGCAAAAAGGGGGAAATACTCATTCAAAGTATTACTTCATTCTGCTGGTCATGAACCTTCCATGAGTTGCCAAAGCTAGCAGCATATTGAGACACAGTTCCAGTTACTGTTGTGAAATCATCTATTGCAAAAGAGACAAATACATTAATACATGTGCATATCAGTGATTGGGGTGAATCTTACAGTCATATTGTATTAACATGAGTCATTAAATAACTTTAAATCAAGTCTGAAAAGTTTTGTTTCAATGTGATTACTCTTTTTTTTGGAACTGCACGAATGCTGGTATTCCAAAAGAGACAGGGTACGGCTGAGAAAATGTGTCCTAATGTGTCCTAAAAATGACCTGATGGTAGTTAATACCCCTATAGTCATATGAGAGCTCGTTTTTACTGTGCTTCCCTTACCATCAGCATTGTTGTTGTAGACTCCACAGAGCCCCCTGGTGGCTGCCAGATGCTCGGCGGTCACTGTCAGGTAAACTGTATTGGCCAAGTCAAACTTTACTCTCACACCCAGACTGCTCTCCACAAACACAAAGTCGCCCAGCCACTGGACACTCACTCCTGGAAGATGAAAAATTTTTTTTTCTTTAAGGAAGTTAGACCACAATTAAAAAATAAATATCCTGTGCCAAATTTGAGCTACATTCATTTAACACAGCCAAAATGGCTTGAAAATGAAAAACAAAATTGCAGGTTTTGGCTCTATGGGTTTATAGAGGGTTAAATGGATGATTTGTTGCAGGTTTATACTTTGCTGTGCAATGTTATTGGCCAACAGCATTTCATTTTATTTCTAGTAGAGGCAAAACATTGCAAAGAAAGCTTTCACCCGTTATCTATATCTTATGGGTATGAAGTCAAGAGAGAGGAGACAGAATACACTAACAAAGCAAAATGTATTTTACACTGTAGTCCTGAAAAGATTACACTTTATGTCACTTGTTAAATAATAACTTGAGATAAGAACAGTGCTACTTATATAT